CTGGGGGCATGACTGCCACCGCCCAAGTTTCTGGACCGGCCCTCTTTTTCATCAAGCCTTGGGGGTGGCCAGACTAGCCCTGCACAGCCCATTCTGTCGTCCTGGCTGATTTTGTCGCGGCTGCCGATTGTCCCCGACATGCCTCCGGCTGCCCAAGTCTGCGCTGCCGATTTTTAGGCCGATTTCATCGGGGCTGCCGATTGTCCCCGACATGCCTCCGGCTGCCCGAGTCTGCGCTGCCGATTTTTCCAACTGGTGGCATGGCTGCCACCGCCCCAGTTTCAGGACCAGCATACCTTTTCATCATGCCTTGGCTGTCCAGGCTCGCTGTCCCCAGACCATTTTGTCGACGTGGCCGATTTTGTCGAGGCTGCCGATTTTTGCCGACATGCCTGCGGCTGCACTGCCGATTTTTCCAACTGGTGGCCTGGCTGCCACCGCCCCAGTTTTTGGACCAGCCCTCTTTTTCATCAAGCCTTGGGTGGCCCAGCTCGCCCTCCACAACCCCTTCTTTCAACCTGGCCGATTTCGTCGGGGCTGCCGATTTTCCCCGACATGCCTGCGGCAGCCCCACTCTGCGCTGCCAATTTTTCCAACTGGTGGCATGGCTGCCACCGCCCCAGTTTTTGGGCCGGCCCCCTTTTTCATCAAGCCTTGGATGGCCACACTCGCCCTGCACAACCCATTCTGTCGACCTGGCCGATTTCGTTGGGGCTGCAGATTCTCCCCGACATGCCTGCGGCAGCCCCACTCTGCGCTGCCGATTTTTCCCACTGGGGGCATGGCTGCCACCGCCCCAGTTTCTGGACCGGCCCTCTTTTTCATCAAGCCTTGGATGGCCACACTCGCCCTGCACACCCCATTCTGTCGCCCTGGCCGATTTCGTTGGGGCTGCAGATTCTCCCCGACATGCCTGCGGCAGCCCCACTCTGCGCTGCCGATTTTTCCAACTGGGGGCATGGCTGCCACCGCCCAAGTTTCTGGACCGGCCCTCTTTTTCATCAAGCCTTGGGGGTGGCCAGCCTCGCCCTGCACAGCCCATTCAGTCGACCTGGCTGATTTTGTCGGGGTTGCCGATTCTCCCCGACATGCCTGCAGCTGCACAACTCTGCGCTGCCGATTTTTCCAACTGGTGGCCTGGCTGCCACCGCCCCCAGTTTCTGGACCAGCCCTCATCTTCGTCAAGCCTTGGGTGTCCAGGCTCGCCTCCTCAGCCCATTCTGTCGACGTGGCTGATTTCATCGGGGCTGCCGATTGTCCCCGACATGCCTGCGGCAGCCCCACTCTGCGCTGCCGATTTTTCCAACTGGTGGCATGGCTGCCACCGCCCAAGTTTCTGGACCAGCCCTCTTTTTCGTCAAGCCTTGGGGGTGTCCAGGCTCGCCCTCCTCAGCCCATTCTGTTGACCTGGCTGATTTTGTCGGGGCTGCCGATTCTCCCCGACATGCCTGCGGCTGCACAACTCTGCGCTGCCGATTTTTCCAACTGGTGGCATGGCTGCCACCGCCCAAGTTTCTGGACCAGCCCACTCTTTTTCGTCAAGCCATGGGTGTCCAGGCTCGCCTCCTCAGCCCATTCTGTCGACGTTGCTGATTTCATCGAGGCTGCCGATTTTTGCCGACATGCCTGCGGCAGCCCAACTCTACGCTGCTGCTTTTTCCAACATGTGGCATGGCTGCCACCGCGCCAGTTTCTGGACCAGCCCTCTTTTTCGTCAAGCCTTGGGGGCATGGCTGCCACCGCGCCAGTTTCTGGGCCGGCCCCCTTTTTCATCAAGCCTTGGGAGTCCAGGCTCGCCCTCCTCAGCCCATTCTGTCGACCTGGCCGATTTCATCGGGGCTGCCGATTCTTCCCCATATGCCTGCGGCAGCCCAACTCTGCGCTGCCGATTTTTCCAACTGGTGGCATGGCTGCCACCGCCCAAGTTTCTGGACCAGCCCTCTTTTTCCTCAAGCCTTGGGGGTGGCCAGACTCGCCCTCCACAGCCCCTTCTGTCAACCAGGCCGATTTCATCGGGGCTGCCGATTGTCCCCGACATGCCTCCGGCTGCCCAAGTCTGCGCTGCCGATTTTTCCAACTGGTGGCATGGCTGCCACCGCCCCAGTTTCAGGACCAACAGTCCTT